AAACTATTTTTAGTGTGTATACACACCAAGAAAATGTCCCTGCCAACCAGAATTGGTTATATCATTGATGAAAACTGTTTTGTTTATGTAGCAAAGCCCAGAGGCAAAAGAAAAAAAAAACTATGTTTAACTCAACAAAAGGAGAGGAAAAAAAAACTCAACAAAAGGACAGTGTCGTGCCAAGGTTCATAAAAGTATGGCAGTTTATAAAAGGGAAATTTGGTGGCATAGCAACACGACAAGAACTATTTAGGTGTCTGAAAACTAAATTTTTTATGGTGTGGAAAGTACTCTAAACCCCCTCAGCTCTTTTCCATTCTAACATCTCTTGAGAATGATAACATATACGTTTTTACATTGTCATTTTTTCTGACAGCTTTCTCTTTCATCAACTTTAATTCAAATTACTTTCCCTCACTTTTATGGTCAAGCTTAGGTCTTTCAAATTCATTCATGAATTTCTAAATACTGCTACCACACCCATATCCTCTCTTCTCTTATTTCGGCGACTATCCATCTTGCTTCCCCATTTCCGTCAAGATCAACCGGAATTTGACACGGCGAGTCTTTATATTACTGTCGTTTAAAGCTCTGAACATGGTGGACAAATCTTGTGAACCACCGCCTTTTACATCCGCAGCGAATATTGAAAGGTACATGTTTAGTCGTTGACACATCTACTTCAACTCTGTTATTGTTTCGTAATTTGAATGTTATCTGATTTTACTCGCTTACCCGCATACATCATCGTTAATTTCCAGGATCTAGAATTTTAATTTTTCTCAGCTAGATTTCTCGTTATTCTTCCTCTTTTTGGACACATAAACGTTTGTCTCATAGTCCATTTCTAGTGATTCATGATTTTGGTATTTTTTACCAGCCCACTCTCATTCTCATCCGTCTTATAATTATCCAGATCTACGCTTTCAGATCTGAGTAGTCGACATCCGTCTTAACAGTTCCGTCATTTTTTTGTTGTTATTGATATCTGGTTCTCTTGATTTTGTAGATTTAGAATAGTTAACTATTTTTTTATGCATACTGAGTAAATAGTAACTACATTGAATATAATCATTAATATCGTTTACTCTTATCATCTATAACAGATACAATAAATAACTACTCTATATTCAGTTAGTCTACATAACTACTATGCACCTATAACCAACTACCAATATAACTATGGGTAGTTAACTATGTTATAACAATAGCTAACTTTTTGCCATTTTTCCTTTGTAGGGATATGTGTTCTCTTCGACAATGTGAACCCACACTGTTTGCAAATAATGTGCTTCTCTAGATTTGCGATGCACTCGTTGATGTGTTTGTAAGGGTTGCTTGATATTCTGCAAATGATGCTTGTTCATTTGCTTGTTCATGTAAGGTTTTAAACAAAACATTCAAGGAACCATCTCTCATCAAGGCGCTCAACCTATCTGCCTTCATTAAACAGTTTAACTTAATGAAGCGCTACCCTGAATTCTTTGAGTCAGCGAAAATGGATAACTACCAATAATTGACTTTGAGTAGTAGCTATCTAATCTAAATAGACAATTATTAATACTTACTTAAGTATTAGAATCAACTTAGAGTTTATGGAGAAATTAGACAACTACTAATAATCGATTTGGAGTACTAGCTATCTAATCGAAATATGTTACAAAGTAGTCAACGTCTCGGTGTCATTCAAACAAACCTTCATTTTAAACATAGTCACCTACTAGTAGTCGTCTACTAAAAATATATGAACACAACAAACAAAAGAATTAGAATTAAAAGGGACGTCTATACTGAAGTGATAGATGACTAGTTGGTATATGTCTATTTATTTTCAACTTGGTGCAACTATAGAAAGTATCGTCCAAAATTTCTCACACTTTTAGAGTGAGAGAATGTTTGTCTGAGGGGGATACAACTTTTTATGAAAATAGTTGTCTACTACATATCCAGATACTCTGAGCTAATGATTTTCTATGAAATAGTCAACTGTGGCTATAAAGTTACCATTGTGACACCTTCCAAGACACCTGGTACAAAGCTTTGCCGTATTCCTCAAATTTTTCTGTGTCATTCAAACGAATTGGATCAACCACATTTCTACCACAAAGTAGTCAACTATGACTCATTATAAAAAGCTCACTATGTTACAAACACTAAATAGTTGATTACGTTACCTTCATTTCTCCTCTGGATGAGAACTTTATTTTCTTTGGTCAACCATCTGGTCAGCGTATAAATGGAGGAAGTAGTTCTGAGACACCATAACATACATGAGTTGGTACGAGGTGGAATGATCTTTTATAAAGGGATCTCCAAAATCTAGTTTGTTTCTCTAGATACACCTCTCCCATAGGCTTCTTGTTTGCAATGTTGTTGTAAGAAGAAGTTACCGATAACTTGATATGTACACCTCTCCCATTTTTCTGTTGTAAACTTCATACTCATCGTGGCCAACAACAACTACCTACATTTTAAACATAGTCATCTATTTGTAGTCGTCTACTATAAAAATATGAACACAACAAACAAAAAGATTAAAATTGAAAAGAATGTCTATACTGAAGTGATATGTGACTACTTGGTATATGTCTATTTACTTTCAACTTGATGCAACCATAGAAAATATCGTCCATAATGTCTCAAAGTTTTAGAATGAGAAGATGTTCATCTGAGGCGGATACAACTTCTTTATGAAAATAGTCGTCTACTACATAACTGCATATTCTGAACAAATATTTTTTATGAAAATAGTCAATTATTCCATAGAGCTATCTCAGATTTTAAATTATATGAGCAAAAAGACACCGTGTATAATTTCTTGAGAAAATACGAACCATAACGCTAAAAATCAGAAACTTGAATGTTTGGTTCATGGGTGTTGTGTTAGTGGCTATTTATATGATCCACAAATGTCTCCTTGAAATTAACATATTCGTACACGTAATACTAGACGACAACAACGTTTGAAGTTTGCTAAAGTAACAATAAAGTTTATGCTGCTATTGTTCCAAAAAGCAGATAACGTTTGTGTCTTGATAAGTTGATGTGGTCCAACCTTAGTCAGAAAAAGTAATATCTAGATTTAGAGAATAAGGGGTGTAATGTCATTTCCACATACCTTTTCTCATTGACTTGTGCTATCCACTTAATTGACTGATTTCCTATATTAGTTACTTAATTTATTTTCTCAGAAGTAATATTGATGCAAATCATGTGATATTTGTCATTATTATTATTATTATTATTATTATTATTATTATTATTATTATTATTATTATTATTATTATTATTATTATTATTATTATTATTATTATTATTTTTAACATCATTTTCATTAAGAAAACAGAGTGCTATAGAGGAGCAGATAGAGAGGAGAATTTACAGAGTGATAGTTTAGCCAAAGCATCAGCGTTTACATTCTTGCCTCTGGGAACAAAAGTAAAACCGATAGAAATAAACATAGAGGCAAGAGTTTTAATGTCAAAAAGGAGACCGAAGATTTTTTTGACTTGCTATTGCAAATTAATGACTTTGATGAGATTCTGAGGTGTACCATTTTTCCAGTCCTTGATTTAAAGATGAACAAAGAGCTAGGGCCTCCACCATCATAGGGGATTTAACAAAATTAAGTTTCAGCAGCTTGACTTTTATCCAGCTCGGCTCCATCCTGATTATAGAACACCCAACCAAACCCTGCACTTAGAGTGTCATCTCTCCAAGCTGCATCTGAGAAGCATGTGATCGTATCAGGGAGAGGCCTCACTGGAGTAGTTTCAGTTGATTCAAAGCTCATTTTGGGGTCTAGTTGCTGCGCCTATTGCCATTCTCTTGCTTTGGAAATTGCTTTAATGACAATTTCTTCAGGTGAGAAGACTCTATCTTGGAATATTAAGAAGTTCCTCGCTGACCAAATGGCCAAACATAGCCATGGAAATAATTGTCCCGGTTCCTCTACTGTTGGGGACAGACATATCATTTATTTTCTCGCAAGAAGAGAAGAGGCAAAATTTCAAATTTGTGAGGTATAGATGCTAGTTTGGAGAGGAGTATGACCCCACACCATTTAAGCAAAGTAGAAATGAAAGAATAGGTGCTCTGTCGTCTCAAGATCTCCACAATGGATGCAAACCAAATTATCCCATAAACCTCGGTTCAAATAGTTCTCTCCCACAGGGAGGGCTTGTTTGATGATTTTCCAAAGAAATACCCTTATATTCGGAGAGAAGTTGCCTTGCCATATTTCAGTATTCCAATTCAGCTCTGGACCCTAGATTGATGTGGTTTGTTCTTCCTCTCCAGCTTAGATGTAGCATCCAGACTTAGAAGAGTATGTTCTGATTTACTTGGAAGCTAGAGATAAGAGTCAGCAGCTCCTTTGCAGCTAGGTTTGAGGCAAAATATTTCTAAGGCGTGGTGAGGTAGGATCTCGAGGACTTTGCTTGTATCTCATTCACAGCCATCTTCAAAAAGCAGGTCTGAGATAGTAAGGTCTTTGGTGTTCATACACGCTGGTCCTGTAGATTGTTTAGGATAAGTAAGTGAAAGCCAAGGGTGATGCAGAGCATCCTTATCTGTTTAGAAGTTTCTTACGTCTTTTGGCTTTGGTGTTTACGTGTCTTTCAAGTTGTGTTTTTTCCTTTTTATTTCTTTGACGGTTTAAGCACTTTTCCTTTTTGTTTAGGAATTCCTATGGCTTAGGGCTTTGTTAGCAGCTATATAAGGTAGTCGAGTCTTTGTTTTTGATTCACGTTTTGCTTCTAAGAAAATCAATAAAAAAACCAAAGAGGAAATCTAAATTTCCCAAAGAGCTTTGCCTTGCTTAGCGCTGAGAGGAGCACTCTCGACCTCTGTTTTGTTCGATCTCTGTCTCGAATAGAACAAAACCTTATTTCATCCAGAGTTCTCCTCAAGTTCTCTTAGTCCCTAGGTTACTAAGCTTCCGCTACTCCACCAGTTGGTATCAGATTACAGGCACTTTTCTGGATCTCAATTAAATCAACATGCCGCCTAAGAAAGATCATGAGGAAATTTCGATGGCTGATTTACACCGATCGTTAATAGCGATGCAGGAATCTCTGCAACAAACGCTGCAACAGTCGATTCATACTCTAGGAGAGACTCTGGCTCAAAACCAGCAGACTTTGATTGCCGCTGTTACTGCAAATAATCGTGTCGTTGGTGCAAACGCCAACAACGAAGCCATCGTGCTCGACAATAATCCTCGTGAGCGTCCTCACCACCAACAGATACAGCACCAACAACCCGAGGGGCGACACAATCAACAGGGTAATGATCGTCGCTGGGAAACAGGGCTTAAAGTGGATATTCCGGAATTTCAGGGAAGTGTACGAGGAGAGGACCTGTTAGATTGGATCATCGCTGTGGAAGAGGTACTTGAGTTTAAACAGGTTCCGCCAGAACGTCGCGTGTCACTCATTGCCACAAGGTTTCGAGGTAGAGCAGCTTCATGGTGGTTACAGTTCAAAACAAATAGAGCTCGTACAGGAAAAACAAAGATTGAGACATGGGAAAAGCTTAAGAAACATCTCCGAGCACAGTTTCTTCCGCTGAACCATGACCGTACAATGTTTACGCGGCTGCAGAATTTACGACAAGGTTCGCGCACAGTTGACGAATATGCTGAAGAGTTTTATTTGTTACTTACCAGGAACGAACTCAATGACACGCAAATCCAACTCGTTTCACGGTTCATTGGTGGACTTCGTCCTCAATTGCAGAATTCGTTGGCTCAGTTCGATCCTACAACGTTAGCTGAAGCACACCGCCGCGCTTTGGCTTTTGAGTCACAGAGCAAATTCCCAACATCTTGGAATTCGCAGAACGCATGGAAAAGCAAAGTAGGTCCATCAGAGGCAGAGAACAGTTTATCTTCACCCGACGTGGCCACTAAAACAAACTCTCACAATCGTACAACCATTCCTGAAGATACGGGGCTCCGACGTTCTTCTAGAAACGCTTTACGTTGCTATTCGTGTGGAGAACAAGGTCATCGGCAAACCGCTTGCCCAAATCAACAACGACGAGGATTGCTTATTGACGATGGTGAGCATTTGGATCCAACTTGTGACGATCTCGAAGACGAAGAAATCGAGGAGACTCCCACCGCAGGAGACACTAATGCACCTTCGCTAATGATGCGTCGAATCTGTCTTGCACCAATCGGTTATGAAGAACCATGGCTTCGGTCAAATATTTTTCGTTCGACGTGCACCATCAAAGGGAAGCTGTGCAACTTTGTTATTGATTCAGGGAGTTGTCACAATGTTATATCAGAGACTGCAGTTAAAAAACTTGGATTAAAGAGAGAAGATCATCCTGCACCGTATACATTGGTATGGATTTCAGAAGGCACAGAAGTAAAGATTACACATCGAGCTTTGGTTTCTTTTTCTATTGGAGCCTTCTACAAAGATACCATCTACTGTGATATCGCTCCAATGGATGTGAGCCACTTAATTTTAGGGCGTCCTTGGCAGTTTGATCGCGATACCTCCCATTCCGGAAAAAAGAATACCTACAGCTTTGTGTTTGAAAATCGCAAGATTATTCTCTTACCAAGTCCAGAGCCAACGTCACTTCCTCTTGTTACTCATAGAGTCGATGTCCAGCCACATGTTACGACCGGAAACCCCTCTCAGTCGACGTTGCTTTGTTCTCGAGCTCAGTTCGAAACCGAACTTCGACAGTCGAAGTTTTTGCTGGCATTAGTGCCATCGTCTCCTTCTCAAAAAACAGGTCCGATTGAATTACCACCTGCGTTTTCAGCCTTGCTTCATGAATTCATGGATATTTTCCCTGAGGATCTTCCGCTACAGTTGCCACCATTACGAGACATCCAACACCAGATAGATCTTGTACCCGGTGCCACTTTACCGAATCGGCCTCATTACCGTATGAGCCCGCAAGAACACGAAGAATTACGAAGACAGGTGGAAGGGTTAATTGCTAAAGGACACATTCGCGAGAGTCTCAGCCCTTGTGCTGTTCCTGCGTTATTGATTCCAAAAAAGGATGGTTCTTGGAGAATGTGCGTCGATAGTCGGGCAATCAACAAAATTACTATCCATTATCGTTTTCCTATTCCTCGGCTTGATGACTTACTGGATCAGATTGGGAAAGCGACAATTTTTTCTAAACTCGATCTCAAGAGTGGGTACCATCAGATACGGATCAAACCAGGTGACCAAATGGAAAACAGCGTTCAAGACACGAGAAGGCTTATTCGAGTGGTTAGTTATGCCATTTGGGTTATCTAACGCTCCCAGTACTTTCATGCGTGTGATGAACCAAGCTTTACGACCATTCATCGGAAAGTTTGTCGTCGTTTACTTTGACGATATTTTGATATTCAGTTCGTCTCTTGAAGAACACCTACGGCACCTACGTAGTATTTTGGAGGTTTTACGTCGCGATCAGTTTTATGTCGCCAAACAGAAGTGCGAATTTGGAGCTGATCATGTTCTTTTTTTGGGATATGTTGTCTCTAAAGATGGCCTTTCCGTAGATAGCAGTAAGGTCGAAGCCGTGCGTACTTGGCCAGAACCACGCTCCTTAACGGAGGTTCGCAGCTTCCACGGTCTTGCTTCATTCTACCGGCGCTTCGTTCCTCATTTCAGTACTGTCATGGCACCCATCACTGATTGTATGAAAGCTGGCAAATTCGCTTGGACCAAAGAAGCTTCATCTGCGTTTGCAACGATAAAGGAAAAACTTACTACTGCTCCAATTCTTGTTTTACCAGATTTTACGCAAGCCTTTGAACTTCACAGCGATGCTTCTAAACTTGGGATTGGTGCTGTGTTAAGTCAATTGGGTCGTCCCATTGCATACTATAGTGAGAAACTTTCGGGTGCACGGATTCGCTATAGTACTTATGATATTGAATTCTATGCCGTGGTGCAGGCAATAAAGCATTGGCGTCATTACTTGTTTCACCGTGAGTTCATTCTATTTACGGACCATGATGCGCTTAAACACTTGGATAGTCAAGAAAAGGTGTCCTCTCGTCATGCTACTTGGATTGCCTTTCTACAGCAATTCACATTTACTATTCGACATCAAACAGGGAAGCTTAATCGAGTCGCTGATGCTTTGAGCAGGCGTCATGCGTTAGTGACGACTATGCACACGTCTGTGCCTGGGTTCTCCTCCTTTGCTGACCTATATTGTTCGGATCCTTACTTTGCGCGCGTTCTTGGTGATGTGAACAGTGGTACGACGTCCGATTTTTCTCTCCAAGATGGCTTCTTGTTCAAGGGAAATCAGTTGTGTATTCCTGATTGCAGTTTACGGCTGCGTATTATCAAGGAGTTGCATGATGAAGGACATGTTGGGAGGGATCGTACTTTGCAGTTGATATCAACCTCTTATTTTTGGCCTTCCTTAAGGCGTGACGTGGTGCGATTTGTTGAACGCTGTCGGGCTTGCCAGCAAGCTAAAGGTTCTGCTTCGAATGCTGGTTTATATTTGCCTCTCCCTGTTCCGACTCAGCCATGGACTGATATCAGCATGGACTTTATTCCTGGCTTACCTCGTACTCAAAGAGGTTTTGATTCCATCTTTGTTGTTGTGGATCGCTTTTCGAAGATGGCCCATTTTATACCTTGTAAGAAAACGACAGACGCTATTCAAGTGGCCTCTTTATTCTTTACTGAGGTATATCGCCTGCATGGCTTGCCCTCTTCCATTGTATCAGACAGGGATACACGTTTTCTAAGTCACTTTTGGCGTTCTGTGTGGAAGCTGCTCCACACTAGTCTGGATATGAGTACCGCATATCATCCTCAAACCGATGGGCAAACAGAGGTTACTAACAGAGCTTTAGGAAACATGCTTCGCAGTTTGGTCGGCGAAAATCTCAAATCATGGGACAGCAAGCTTTGTCTCGCCGAGTTTGCTCACAATCACGCTAGTAATCGGAGTTCTGGGTTTTGTCCGTTCAAGGTTGTTTATGGCGTAATTCCGCGATGTCCACTAGATCTTGCGCCACTTCCAGATCGCGTTCGTCTTCATGGTCAGGCAATTGATTTTGTGGAAAATGTTCAAACCATTCATCAGGAAACTCAACAAAATTTGCAATCGGCGACAGCATCTTACAAAGCACAAGCAGACACACATCGTCGGGAAGTCGAGTTTCAACCAGGTGATATGGTGTGGGTCATTTTAACGAAGGAACGATTTCCAACTCGTGAGTACAACAAGCTGCGTTCTCGGAAGCTTGGCCCTCTTGAGATTGTTGAACACATTAACGCTAATGCGTATCGTGTCCGTCTTCCACCAGACATTCGCACGGCTGATGTGTTTAATGTTAAGCACATATTTCGGTATCATGGTGAAAATGACATTCCAGATTCGAGGGTGAATCCTCTTCTACCCCAGGGGACCTGATGCAGAGCATCCTTATCTGTTTAGAAGTTTCTTACGTCTTTTGGCTTTGGTGTTTACGTGTCTTTCAAGTTGTGTTTTTTCCTTTTTATTTCTTTGACGGTTTAAGCACTTTTCCTTTTTGTTTAGGAATTCCTATGGCTTAGGGCTTTGTTAGCAGCTATATAAGGTAGTCGAGTCTTTGTTTTTGATTCACGTTTTGCTTCTAAGAAAATCAATAAAAAAACCAAAGAGGAAATCTAAATTTCCCAAAGAGCTTTGCCTTGCTTAGCGCTGAGAGGAGCACTCTCGACCTCTGTTTTGTTCGATCTCTGTCTCGAATAGAACAAAACCTTATTTCATCCAGAGTTCTCCTCAAGTTCTCTTAGTCCCTAGGTTACTAAGCTTCCGCTACTCCACCAAAGGGTCACTCCATATCGAAGTTTCCTTGCCATTACCAATGGCATTCCCCAGATGTTTATGCAGAAGATCTCTGCTAATCAGGATTCCACGCAACCCATGAGAGGCATTAGAAGCTGGTGAAACCTTTAAAAGATGAGCTTCTTTGCAGTATTTTCTGAGAAAAACACGATCTAGGAGGTGATTTGATTTCTGTAAGATTCTCCACCTTATTTTAGCCAGTAGAGAGTCATTGAAGTGCTGAATCTCACGAAAACCCAGGCCACCATCTCTCTTGGATCGTGTGAGCTTAGACCATGCAACTCAGCATATTTTTTTCTTTCCCAATTTAGAGTCCCACCAAAAACGATTTATAGCTGATTGGATTCTCTTGCATATACTTTTTGGGAGCTTGAATCAGGACATGGACTATGTAGAAGAGAGGATGGATTTGATCATAGTTAGTTCTCCAGCACTAGATAGATAACGTGAAGACCAGCTAATCCATCTCTGTCTAATCCGGTCTACAATCAGTGTGAAGAGTTTTTTTTTTGGTGACCAAAGCTCTCTGGTAATCCAAGGTATTTACCCTGGCCTTCTTCTTTTTCTATTCCCATAGTCTGCATTACTCTCTCTTTTACATCTTGTGGTGTTTTCTCCGAGAAAACATAGACGATTTTGAGCATTTCCATTGTTGAGATCCTCAAAAAGAAGTTCTCAAAAATCAAATATTAATATTTAATATAATGTAAATATTGGATTAAATTTTATTTTGATTAAAAAGATAGCCCAATAACAAAGAGACAATTGTACATTGGGTATCTTATGGGTATCTGATAACTTCTCTCATTCGGAAGCTATTCTTACTTTCTCTCTCATCTTTTTATTATTTTTATCTTTTTAATGCTTTGATACTCTTTTTAAAAACTACCGACGAAGATGCTCTTATGTTTGTTAATCACTTGGCCTGAAGCCAATTTATATGTTGTAGTATATGTTTCAGGATTTCACAGCAGCGAGGGGTCTTCTTGCAGGAAAACGTGGTATTATCGGTGAAAAACAAATGATTTAAGCTTGGGCTCTTTCTTGAAACTCGGATGCTAGGTAGAAGACCACTGTTTTGTGCTTTGTTGCATACGACAGATAGAACTTCTCCATAGAGAACAAAGATGAACGAGGACAACATATCTCCTTGTCTAATGCCACGCTGAGGAAGAACACTGCCATGAGATATTCCATTAACCAGAAAGGTATAAGAGACAGTTGATATACATTTGAGAATCCAATTTATCCATTTTGCATGAAAGCCAAGTCTCTACAGATTTGATGCAATGAAATCTCACTCAAGCCTATCATAGGCCTCACTCATGTCTGTTTTAATAGCCATGAAGCAGTGTTTAGTTGCTTTAGACCCCTTTAAAATATGGAGAGTTTCATGATTTATTAACACATTGTCGGAGGAGACTCTGTCAGGGAAAAAGGCTGATTGTATTTCAGAGATCAGAGTGCGTAGAAGAGGCTGCAAGTGTTGTGTGAGGATTTTTGAAATCATCTTGTAGTAAGTGTTGCACAAAGCAAAATGTCTGTAATCGGACACCACTTTTGGACTCAACACTTTGGGAATAAGTCAAATGTGAGTAGAATTGATAGATCTTGGAAGTCTTCCAGAAGATAATAACTCTCGAATATCCTTGGTGATTTTATCACCAACCACCAGCCAACTAGATTGGTAAAAACTCGTCGGGAAACCATCAGGGCTTGGTGTTTTGTCTGGATGAATCGAGAATAAAGCCGCTCATATTTCCTCTTTAGTTGGATCAGCAATTAATCTCTCATTAACCTCTGGTGAGATACATGGCTGCAATGTTTGTGCTACAATTTTCGCACAATCTGTTGATCTAGTGATGAATAGGTCCTGAAAATAATCATTAATCACTTGGACCATTTCATCTGCTTCATACACAACATCTTCATCTCTATTCTCCAATATAGTAAAATTGTTTACACCTCGTCTTCCTCGGGTTACCGCGTGAAAATAGCCTGAGTTTTTGTATCCTAGGGCTAACCAGAGGGATCTGCTCCTTTGCTTCCAATATTCATCTTCCTCCTTATAAGCTGTTTTCAGATTATAGTTGATTTCGTAAAGGAGAGTTTCATTTTGGACATGTGAACTCATAGCAAGGTCTAGTCTTTCCTTTTCTCTATCAATGGTTTGTTGACTGTTTTTGTGATGTTCTCTATTCAAACTTAAGATATTTGCATCGACTTGAAGGGAAAAGCTCAACCCATGCTCCATTTGACATAGCTCGATCTAATCTGCAATGCACCAGGTGTGTGTTGCAGATAAGCTCCAAGAGAGAAAATTACCAGCAAGGCCTAGGTTATAAAGGTCTTTTGTGACAGGAATGATCGAAAATCAACGAAAAATTCCTCAACTCTTGTTGCTCCCCCAGATTTTTTCAGACTTGCCAACAATGTCGTTAAAGTTATCAGTCAGAAACCATGGAACATCATAGGAAGCAAGATCAGAGAGTTCATTCCAAATAGATCTTCTTTTAGATTGGTCTAGTTCACCATGAACGATGGTAACTACAAAGACAGATTTCTTATATGACATGGTAGAGTCGATATAGTTGTTGCAGGAGAAGGAGACTTTGAGATCCATATCTTTTTTTCCAAGTCCTCCACCGCCAGGACTGTGCGAATGGACAAAGAACTGTGATTCATAATCCAGGTATTTCAGTTTTTCCTTTATGAAGTCATCACCGTTTTTTTGTGGAGCTCCATGATGCGATGAACTGCTATGGGATTCTCCAACCCACAATAGTTCTAGCTCAATATAACTAAGGAAGAGGATTTCTTGGATCCTGAAAATCCAACTTATCCTTTGAGATTGTAGGAATGATGTTGATGTGAGTGGTGAGCGTGATTGCACTGGTGATGAAGGGTTGTTTGCTGACCAAGAGACAGTTCTTTGAGAACAAGATCATTGGTTTCGTCTGGTGCTATGGTGGTAAAGCAGGGGAGAGTTCTTTGAGAACAAGAACAAGATCATTGCTGACCAAGAGACAGTTCTTTGAGAACAAGAACATGTGGCAATAGGAGCAGTGGTTACCCAATTTTTAGTATTGGAGAGTCACTAAGGCTTCTGACCTAGCAGTTACTAGTTTAGGAAAAACAAAGTGGTAGTGTTTCAAAACATGAAATAAAATCAAATTCTTGAATACTATCTTAATATTTGTGCCTGACAGAATTTGAAAACTTAAAAAACATTACTAAATCCTCCTCATTTGTCATTATTTCCAAACATACAAATTTATCATCTCAAATGAGTGATAACGAAAACCTTTAATAATTAAAAAAAAATTAAAACACAATTTTAATATCGTTCATCACATTCACATAGTTAAATTCTTTACACAATTCAATTGTGAAACCCTTTAATCTTTTTTACAGTAATATTTTCCTAATATCATGAACTTCTCATTCAAAAAGGCTAAACATATAATATCAAAACTAAATGTATAAACCTCATTTTGAAATAATATTGTGCTCCTCCCATTTCTCATTTTTAGTGTGGCCTTAGGCAATTGCCTTTTTTCCAACATATAGTCAAGACTCTGGCTTAGGAGCTCGTTTTCGTAGCTTGTGATCTATCTTCACGGCAGTCTTCATTTTAGAAATAAAAAGATAGTCCTATGTTGCACCATGTAGAGAATCCCAACCTATCTTTTTAGTCCATGTAGTTTTAACATAATTATTGCAGGTTAGAGTAGGTTTTAACCAGAGCAATACATATTCATTTTTTTTTCTAACAGAATTGAGTTTAAAATTAAAAAAAAATGTTTCAAACAGTAGATTCTGAAAATAAAAAATTCATATATTTTGCAATAGTCTCATCAATTATGGGCAAAAAGTTTTATACCTTCATATTCTACATTCTTATTCTCCTTCTATGGACTTTCTTACATTTTCAGCAACTTAAAGATTCCACTAGATAACTTTCTTTCTTTTTGGATGCTCCAAGTCATATAAAAACTCCTCCAAAAAATCTCCTCTATAAATCATCTTCCTGCCAAACTCTTGCAATAAAAACAACTCTAAAACAAAGATTTTAACAAATAAATTACAAAAAAATGAAATACGCAGAGATATCACATTTCAGCCATCCACAACACAACCTCAAATTCGACTACACCGAGAAGCCCTTCAAATGTGATGGGTGCAACGAAGTCGGCATAGGCTCTCGCTATCGCTGCTCCAAGGACCATCAAGGCTGCGATTTCGATCTCCATGCGCACTGCGCATTACCTTCTGCCTCCATAACACATCCGTTCTACAAAAAATGTTCGTTTCAGTTTTTGGCGCAGCCGCCAGGCAAGGAGAGACGGTATTGCAATGCGTGCGAGAAAGATGTGTCGGGATTCGTGTACCATTGCAAGGCTTGCGGGTTTGATCTTCACCCTTGTTGCGCGATGCTTCCTATGGTTTTGGATGATGGAGAGACCAAACTCTTTCTTTACCGTAAAGTGAGTTCCTCTTGTCATCGATGTGGACGAAAAGGTCGTAGCTGGAGTTACAGGTCTCTTCTTGATTTTATTCTTTTTCTTTTATTATAGCTACTATCAATCGGTGTTCAATATTATGTATTATGATTGGTTCTTTTAAGTTAAGATCAACTAAACAAGTCAACTAAAATTGATAGGATAGTAATTGAGAAAAACGAAATGTTAAATGAGCATGCTTAATTGCTTATTGCTTAAGTTTCTTTTTTTTTTTTTTTTGAGGTTGCTATTTTTCATTGGTGTTTTTAGTCAACATTAGCATATATTCCAAATCAACATCTCTGAAGAATATTTTTAATAAAGCAATAAGAGTTAATATTTTGGATTACGTTGATGTTTGATTCTTGAACATGAATTTCGTCTTTATACCGAATATATATTTGAGCAAAAGAAAAATTAAAGCAATGGCATTCAAACACAATTACTTTAAAGCAGTGGCAGTTAACGCAACTTTTTTCCTTTTTAAAAGAAATGAATTTTGTGTTTGCTTATTGGTATACAAGTTTCATAACGTGCACTCTAAGTTAAAACTTATTATATGTTACAAAACTATAGTATTTTTACAAATAATAAACTTCCCAAGTGTAGAACATATAATAATGCTAATAAATAATAAATTTTGTAAGTAGTAAATATGATTTATATTGGGAGATGGATGAGATCGACCGAAACTGAATAGTCTAGATGCTCAATTATGGAACTAATGAAGATATGATTACACAAAAAAGTTTCAAGAATTTTTTTTAAACTAAGATACTGACAATTATCAACCATCTTCTATAGTTTTCTTGATTTTTCTTTAATCATATCTTCATTAGTTCAATAATCTATTGCAGAAAAAATTATGGACTAAAGACCCAAATTCCTTGATTAATTATTAGAACAAGATTTTGAGCCAATTAATAATGAAAATATGGTTCTAAACAAATAAATACAGGTCGTCTTGCAAAAAGTACAATCTCCACGTAGCGTGCGTGAGGGAGATGTTGGTGGATAATTGGCGAGAGCTATACAAAGAACAGAATATTAAACGCACAGAACGTAAGATCCTGACTTTGAAGAAAACGCTTGAGCATCACCACCGTAGCAGCAGCAAAGGCAAAGTCCAGAAATGCTGCGAGATCGCCGGAATGGCCGTGCAGTTCGTTATCTCTGCCGTGCTCGGCGATCCAACAGCCCTTATCGCCGGAGTTGTAGGCTCCCTCATTTCTCGAGGATGATTCCTATTCCTCTCCCATGGGTATTATACTAGAATTTGATATCCGATCAAGTTTCATGTAAAAAAGTCCAATACAAAACCAAAAAAAAAAAAAATTGAATATTGCGTTTAGTAAAGTTTATATCTTATGTGACCTAAACATTCAGCAGTACTGTTTTCTTAGATGCGTTAATGACTCTTAATCACGTTTCTTATCTAATTGAAGAAACTATAATCTTTTGTATAATCTAGTGTATTTTGTATAAGTATGTTAATATTTTATCTTAGAAACTACTCCCCGTTTCACAAAGAGTGTCGTTCTGACATTTTTCACACAAATTAAAAAAAAATAAAAGGTCTCTTATACCCTTATTAATTTGCAGAAATGACTTTTGGAATTACATTTATAACTAATTTTCTAAATTTATTTTTGAGGTTAAAAATGGTATTTTATGTCAAAATTTACATTGGAATTCTAAAACGACATTCTTTTTGAAACAAAAAAAAATATTAGAACGACACTCTTTGTGAAACGGATGGTGTATATATTTACGAGTTACGAATCATCGCATTATTTTTGTTATTTGCTTTGTTTTTTTTTTTTTTCGGCGAAATAAAACTTATATTACTGACTATTGTAAGCATTATTTTTGTTATTTGCTTTGTTAAAGTTGGAAAAGCGCTACAACTGGATTTATTTATCGTTTAATAATTAAAATATATATCTAAATATAGAGGTATATAAAATATAATATAACTTAATTCTAAATTCGCAAAAGTTCGGTTTCAAATAAAGCTTTATGAATGTGAATAAAAAAATATCATAGTTCTATAAAAAAAACGAAAATTGGATTTTATAATTGACTTGATCCGGCTACGTTCTAAAGTTTTTTAGGGATTTAAATGTCTGACATTTAAGGTAAACTATTATTTTAGTTTTTTGTTATGAAATCCAAATCGGGCTGATTATCTCTATTCGTAGTTCAACCTGTCCAACTGGCCGGTCCAGTCTGGTTATTATTATTTTTTCTAAAATTTCTGAGTATTTCATATATAAGCGGAGAGTTTTATATAGATGGAAATAAATACAAGAAATATTAAGTGATATTAAGAGATATTAAGCTTATTGGATCTTGTATAGTTAGTTATTAGAATTATTAGAATAATTTATCCCACATTGCTAGTTTCTAACTCAAGGTTGACTAATGTACTTGTATATATATGTGCCTTTAGACTGATGAATAAAATAACTTCCGCAAAATTACTTTGACATGGTATCAGAGCCTAAGACTACATAAAGTTTTGGTCTAGCTCTTGAATCAGAGCCTAAGGCTACATAAAGTTTTGGTCTAGCTCTTGATTCAAATTCTTGTTTATAAGTTGTGGTTTATTGGAAAAGCAAACCGACGAGGTCTTGCTCTTTTGTTTTTTGGTGAACTCGGACCGACGAGGTTCGGGATTTCTGTAGAGCCATAAGGGCTTGGGATTTCTTTATTCGGTGGAGAAACCTTGGGATTTTCTCTGTTTTTTAGAAAATATGAGATTCCAGAGTCGAGGAATTAAGTGTTCTTATTGTTCGAAGTATGGTCATGATGTGAGATCATGTTATCAGATATATGGATATCCAGATTGGTGGCTGGAGAAGTATGGAAAACCTACGAAACATGTGTCACACACTGAAAAACGTGTGTCACACACGGAGGCGTCACATGTTGATCCACAGGCTGTGACAGGGCTCAAGAAAGATCAATGGCATAAGCTTGTTCGATGGTTTGATTCGAGATTAGAGATAGCAAATCGTGTGAGTGATAACACCTATCCAGATGAGTGGATTATTGATAGTGGTGTGTCGCACCATATGACGGGTACGTTAAGTGGTATGTTTGATGTGCATAAAGTCTCACCATGTTTAGTGGGTCTGCCTAATGGAAATGTTGTGGTTGCTGATAGAGAAGGAAGTGTGGCATTGACGGAGAAGTTAACTTTGACACATGTGCTTTTTGTCAAGGAACTCAAGTGCAATCTCATCTCTGTGTCACAGATTATTGATGCAATGAATTGCATTGTGTTGTTTTTCAAGCAAATGTGTCGGATACAGGATCTTGCTTTGCAAATTCTGATTGCAGTGGGTAAAAGAAAAGATGGATTGTATTTTCTTCAAGGTATTCAGAAGACCGTGAATGTGGCGAAGGTCAGTAAGTTGGAGTCTTTGGAACTTTGGCATAAAAGGATAGGACATGCTTCTGAAAAGGCTATTAGGAGATTGCCAGAAGTGGATCAAAAGAGTGTTAGTGTTTCTGATTGCGATGTCTGTTTCCGAGCAAAGCAGTGTCGGAATGTATTTCCTATGAGTACAGAGAAAAGCAAAGAATGTTTTGAGATGATTCATTGTGATTTGTGGGGGCCATATCGAACACAGAGCGTGTGTGGATCCTCTTATTTTTAACTATCGTGGATGATTATTCTAGAGCTGTGTGGGTTTTTCTTCTTGCTGATAAAACACAAGTTCAGAAAACAATGGTAGATTTCTTTGCTCTCATTCAGCGTCAGTTTGAGAAACATGTGAAAATCGTGCGAAGTGATAATGGTAGTGAATTCATGGGTATGAAGGAGTATTTTCGTACATCAGGGATAATTCATCAAACTTCGTGTGTGGGAACTCCTCAACAAAATGGTAGAGTGGAGCGAAAACATCAACATATACTGAATGTCGCAGAGTGTTGAGGTTTCAGGCAAATTTACCAATAGAACTTTGGAGTTATTGTGCTTTGAGTGTTGTGTATCTAATCAATCGTACGCCTTCTGTGTTACACAATGGTAAGAGTCCTTATGAAATCATCTTTGGAAAAGCTCCTGCTTATAGTGAGATACGAGTTTCTGGATGTTTAGCGTATGCTCACAATCAGAAACGTCATGGAGATAAATTTGCGAGTAGAAGCAGAAAATGTGTATTTTTGGGATACCCTTATGCAAAAAAGGGATGGAACTTATTTGACTTGGAGACACATGAGATCTTTGTTTCTCGGGATGTCACTTTTATTGAGGAACGATTCCCATACTTGGAGCTAAAAAATGCACAGCTGGATGAGCCTTCTAATTCTAATCAAATGAGATTATATGTGGATGATAATGCTGGATTTGACGATATCGAACCTGCCTTGACAAGGGAAATTATACAACCTCTCACAAGAGATACAATGACACAGACTCAGGTTGTGTCAGACAATGTTGCAGAAGAAGAAAGACAGACTATAGGAAACGAAATACGCGATATCTTAGGAATTACAGCGCCACAAACTGAACCTGCATCCGTTACACAGTCTGAGATTGTGCAGCCTACTTTAGTGACAGAACCTACATCAGTTACATAGTCTGAAAATGTGCAGCCTGCTTTAGTAACAGAACCTGCATCGGTGACACAGGCTGAAACTGTGCAACAGCCTGCGTCAACAGAAACTTTGGGACGAGGAATGAGAAAGAAATAATCTTCTGTCAAGTTACGTGACTATGTGTGCAACACGACATTTACAATGAATACTTCCATTGTGAGTTAGGAGTTGAGTAATGATTATGGTATTGAGAATTATGTGAATTGTGAAAGGTTCTCTGTGTCACACAAGGCATTTCTGTGTAGTATAACTGAAGGAGTTGTGCCGAAAAGTTTTGCTGATGCCATGAAGGATCCGCGATGGAGAGAAGCTATGAGACTCGAGATTGAGGCCCAAAAACGAAATCAAACATGGTTGATTGAACAATTACCACCAGGTAAGCATATGATTGAGTGTAAATGGATTTATACAATTAAGTATAATGCAGATGGCTCAATTGAAAGGTATAAGGCGAGACTCGTGGCATGTGGCAATCGTCAAAAAGAAGGGATTGATTATTCTGATACATTTTCTCCTGTAGCAAAGATGAGCACAGTTCGATTGGTTCTTCAAGTTGCCGCTGGGAAAAATTGGGAGCTACATCAGATGGATGTGCATAATGCGTTTCTTCATGGAGATTTGGATGAAGAGGTCTTTATGAGGATACCTCGGGGTTTTGGTGCTTCTAAGAAGGGTATAGTATGTCGTTTGCGCAAGTGGCTATATGGTTTGAAACAAGCTCCGCGATGTTGGTTCGCGAAACTTTCGAAGGCACTTTTGGGGTACGGTTTTACACAGAGTAAGGCTGATAACTCTCTTTTCTCATTAGTTCTTGATAAAGTTCACTTGCACGTTCTAGTGTATGTGGATGATCTTGTGGTGACAGGAAGCTCTCCTGAGGTGATACAAAAGTTTAAAACATATTTAAGCAATTGCTTTCATATTAAAGATTTGGGAAAATTGAAATATTTTCTTGGATTGGAAGTTGCAAGAAATGAGGGTATATACTTATCACAGAGAAAGTATGCTCTGGATATTATTGCTGATGTCGGTTTGCTTGGTGGTAGGCCTGTAGAGTTTCCGATGGAGCAAAATCATCAGTTGGGAAGGTCGACGACAAAGATTTTGACTGATCCAGAGAAGTATTGGAGACTGGTTGGAAGGTTGATTTACTTGGCTGCGACTAGACCAGATCTTGCCTACTCAGTTTACATCTTATCTCAATTTATGAATGAGCCAAGAGAAGATCATTGGATGGCTGCATTGAGAGTTATTCGTTACTTGAAAGGGTGTCCGGGAATGAGAATTTTGTTGAAATCTGATTGTAATTTTCATCTTACAGCTTGGTGTGATTCAGATTGGGCTGGATGTCCAATCACGAGGAGATCTTTGAGTGGATGGTTGATACAATTGGGAAATTCTCCTGTGTCATGGAAGTCAAAGAAGCAAGATGTTGTATCATGCTCTTCAACTGAAGCAGAGTATCGAGCTATGGTTTTGGCATTGAAGGAGTTGAAGTGGTTAAAGAGTGTGTTGTTAACGATGGGTATTGCACATTCTGGTCCAATGAATTTATATTGTGACAGCCAGTCTGCGCTTCATATTGCAGCTAATCCTGTGTTTCATGAGAGAACGAAGCATGTGGAGATTGATTGTCATTTCATTCGAGATGATATACAGACTGGAATTGTTCAGACCCAACATGTTTCTACTACTCAACAGCTGGCGGATATCTTCACTAAAGCACTTGGAGGACGTCCGTTCAAAGGAATTTTGTGCAAGTTGGGCATTCGAGATCTCCATGCTCCAACTTGAGGGG